CTAGAATAACCTATCCTGCAGTCACTCCATCAGTTGCTAGGTCCATTCAAGGTACTGGTTGCCATGTACAAGGCCCTTCAAGAGAGGCTGCATCTTCTACTATGTTACAGCAGCTTTGGTCTTCTGAAGAGCTCGCCAGCTCTGAATTGGGAAATACTTGGAAATTTTTGGGGTGGAGCCTGAGCGGTGGGTGTTGCCTTCTGACACACTTCCGGTGATGTTGAGGTGTTGCATATGCAAATAAGTTATGCTAATGAGTTATGCTAATGAGCTCATGCACCTTTTTCTATGAAATGACCCCAGTTAAAATGTGTGTGTGTGTGTAGAAGAAGAAGAAGAGATTGGATTTATACCCCACCCTTCACTACCCAAAGGTGTCTCAGAGCGGCTTACAAACTCCTTTCCCTTCCCCTCCCCACAACAGACACCCTGTGGGGTAGGTGGGACTGAGAGAGCTCTGACAGAAATTGCTCTTTTTCAAGAACAGCTCATCAGAACTACGGCTTGCACAAGGTCATCCCGCCAGGTGCAAGTGGAGGAGTGGGGAATCAAGCCCAGTTCTCCCAGATTAGAGTCCTTGCACTTAACCACTACACCCAGGGGTCATTTGGGGGGGGGACGCGGGGTACGCCATCCCCCCGGGTGAGGTGCGGGAGGGCGGGGCCTGGAGCTCCCTGCTGGTGCCCGCTGGAGGTCGCTGGCGGCTGTGGGGAGGACACACTTCCGGTGATGTCAGGGGGTGTGGCATATGCTAATGAGTTATGCTAATGAGTCCCCCTAGCTCTTTTTCTACGAAATGACCCCTGACTACACCAAACTGGAGCCAGAACACAGCCCTGTCTAACCACCTTCTGTAATAGTTTGTAATAAATGCCATTCCAAGCTGCATCTTACTTGGGCAGCTGTAGAATCATGGAGCTGTCACAATAACCATAACAACCTATTATCAATTAAAATCTTCTTAACTTCTCCCACAATCAAACCCTGGGAACTTAATCGAAGGTGGCTTGCAAATCCATAAGTACTACATATAGCTGTCCTCCTGGATATGGTGTACACTTCCTAGTCAGATGATGCAATACTAGACAGTGGTCAGTCATAGACCAACCACTTACAAAACCATCTTGTTCAAGGTCAGTAATACCCTTTTCATATACCCAGCTACTTATATGTGTAGTTTACCCATAGTAAAAAGGAAGCTAACAGGACTATAGTTGGATGGATCTGTTCTATCACCTTTCTTGTAGTGTGGGACAATTACAGCCCTTTTCTAGGCTTCAGGGATTTTCCCAGATTGACTAACTACTGAGAAAAAAGGAGTGAATACTTTACCCCACCAATCTGGTTCAAAATGAAAGAGTTCTGACAGGACCAAATCTGGTCCAGGAGAACAACTCTTTTTCAGCTTTACAATTAAGCTTTCCATTTCCCCTGGGCAAACATCTGGCCAATCTGGTGAATCCCACAATCTCGCTGGAGGAAACGCATTTCTAGGGGGTACAGCAAAAATACTGGAGAAACTGACATCCCCGAGATTGAGATGATATACAGGACATTAGTTGTCCCCAGGATTTAAATGAGCTAGAGATGAGGGACCAACATTTCTCTGAATTAGTATTGCTGACTGCTGAAAATAGAGAGTCCCATCTTCTCATCATAACATCATATTTTTCCTCCAGATCACATGTTATGTTCCCCCCCCCCATACTCCAAAGCAGTGCCAATGTCAAGTGGCTATGAGTTCTTCTAAACTCTTACAGAATCTTACTGAGCAATACCTTCATTTTCTTACAGTAATTGTCACATGGCATGTTTTTCCTACCCTGGCACCTAGATCTCTTGGACTGATAAACAAATGCTGGTTTTAAAAGGTCAAACATTCAGTCTAACAAATCCAAAAGTCATTAAGAGGGGGCATTCTTCCAATACTGGCTCATAATTTTGAAACCCAGTGGAGTTCATAATTTTTCAGACATAATTTCTCTTGACATGCATCATTCTCCTGAGGGAGAAAATGTTTGGAAGACACACACATACAACATGTACCCATTTTGACTCTGCCCTATGCAAAATTATGTAATTTGGCCTATACTTTATGAAAACCAGCACCAGCTTCTTTCCCAATATAACCCTTCTCAGAGATTGCTATTTACATTACCGTCATATGTTCTACCCTTACTCAGGAAGATGCAATCTCTTTTAAACATTTATTTCTAAAATCTTCATGCCACATTTCCAAAACAAGTTGCTTGTGACAGTTTATAATAATAAAGCAATCTTTGTTAATTTTCTTAACTAATTATAAGAAAACAAACACATTTTTGTTTCAACTGGCCTATTTACACCTCTATAAATTTAGCTGCATTTTTTTCAAGCACTTTGCTAATTTGTTTCCCTAAACCCATCTCTCTATGGTCTCTAATTAATTGGGTTTTTTTTTCACTTTGGCTTTGTTAATCCTTTGTCTATTTTTATTTTATACTGGCATATTTGTATCTCCAGTATCCCAGCCTAATTACTCTCACTTGGGTTTTTGACACTGAAAATCCAATACGTCTCCCTTCCTTTAATTTGTGGCTTAAAAAGACTAGACAGGCTTGTCTCACTTAATCCTTCTGAATAATTATTCACTCATTTCTTTCACTCACAGGATCCATTTTGTTTTTCTCCTCGGAATTGTCCTAATTTGAGTTAATGAAAGTTAGCTGCAAAGCTCAAACCAACTCATTAATGGAACCTCTGCTATATTTTCCTGATGAAAACACGTTATACTGCTAACAGTGTGAACTTTTATGATCAGAGGCAGGGATGGGCACAAACCAAGAACATGTGGTTTGGTTCATGGTGTGCCAGTTCACAAACCATGAACCGTCACAAACTTTTAGCCACCAAACAAACTGGTTTGGTTCATGAGGTTTCTGGCATGGTAGAATGCCTCCCCCCAGCACACTAGAGATACCAAACTCACAGGGGATCTCCAGCTGACTTTCGTCTACCTGCCCTCCAAGTTTGGTGAAGATTGGATTTACAGGATCCAAGTTATGGCTTTCCAAAGAAGATGCCCCCAGGAAAGTGCTTTCTGGGGAAATAACAGGTGCAGGTTCAGGACGTTCAGGAATGTACAGAATGGACCATGTACAAGCTAGAGTCATCAAACTCTCAGGGGACCTCCCTCTGATGCTCCTCTACATGCCATCCAACTTTGGTGGGGATAGGATTTAGTGGGTCTGAGTTATGACCCCCCCAAAGAAGATGCCCACAGGAAACTGTTTTTTGGGGAAATGTTAAGTGTAGGTTCCAAAGTGCAAGCTACACACATCAGCCACACAGGGAACATATTGTTGTTTCCGAGGCTGGAGAATTCCATCCCCTGTTGCTTTGAAATTGCTTTGTTGCTTTGAAGTTTAGTAAACATTTTGCTTGAGTGGAAACAGTTTGTCTGAAAATATATCCATTCACAAACTTCCACAAACTGCTTGAAAGTTTGTGGAAAGTTTATGCTGGTTGACCTGCCATGAATTTCAGTTTGCAAACCATGAACAGGCCAAAATTAGTCACAAACAAATTCATGCCCATCCCTAACCAGAGGTCTTGACAGAGATGGAGAAAAAGGAGGATCAATGAGATCATACCAAGTGAGGAAATATTCCAAGAAAGTTAGGTTAGGAATCAATCCAGGTCATGATCATATAGGCGCTGGTGGAGGATACTGGGAGATCCAGATTCAAAACCTTACTTGCCATGAAAACCACTGGGTGCTGTGGGGCCAGTCACAATGAGGAATTTCACATTACCCTTTTTAACCCATTTTGAAGCCGTTTTTGATCCGTCATGGAGTAAACTGGTATAGGGCTGCCATTTCACACATGGCTTTCCCCTTCCGGTAAAGAGCTGGATCTGAAGCAGTTTGCCATTTCAGACTGCACCGCTTTTTCCTGGCCGTTTTTCACCCGCACGGGCAATCTCCGCCTTTTTGGGGGGGGGGGGCCTCTTCACTTTAGAGCGCTATAGCGCTATAATACAACACTCCAGGAATTCCAGTGGGGTTGATATAATGCTGTTGTGTTAAAGCGCTATAGCGCTTTAACGATATAAAGCAAACGTTTTTTTTAAAAAGCCATAGATCACCCGCGCAGGCGAAAAACGGCTTGAAAAAGCGCATCAGAACCAGGAGAGGAAACTGAAGACTACTTGGAAGCGGTTGAGAGGTAAAACACTTCAGCCCCGTTTCCTAAACAGGACAGAAGCGTTTGTGTGTGAAATTACAAATATATTCCAGTAGGGAACCGATTCTAAAACGGTTCTGTCTGAAATGACAGACCAGAAACGGTTTGGGAACCATTCCACTTCCGGATTATATCGTCTGTCTGAAATTCCTCACTCTGTCTAATCAGCATGGTGTAGTGGTTAAGAGTGGTGGGCTCTTGATCCATACTCTTCCTGGCTCATTAAAGCGGGCCATGGGGGGTTTTGAGGTGCCCTAAGGGAGATTATCAACAAGTCCCTCTCTGAGGGGTGGTTCCTGGGGGCACTCAAGGAAGCGATGGTCCACCCTCTCCTGAAAAAGCCAACTATGGAGCTGGCTGAATTGGTCAACTATCGGCCGGTTTCCAATCTGCCCTATCTGGGCAAATTAATTGAAGGCAGTGGTGATATAGTTACAGGGCTTTCTGGATGACGCTTCCATCCTAGACCCCTACCAGTCTGGCTTTCACCCGGGACACAAGATGGAGACAGCGCTGGTTGCCCTTACAGATGACCTCCAGTGACATCTGGATCAGGGTGGTGTGGCAGTGCTGTTTGTTGCTAGATCTGTTGGCTGCGTTCGACACAGTCGACCATCAGTTGCTGACCCACTGCCTCGCTGATGTGGGGATACAGGGGCTTGCCTTGCAATGGCTTGCTTCCTTTTCCCAGGGTCGGGGACAAAGAGTGGTGCTAGGGGAACAGCAGTCCAGGAGACACCCGCTTGAGTGTGGTGTGCCTCAGGTGGCGGTGCTTTCGCCGATGTTGTTTAACATCTACATGCGCCCCCTTGCCCAGATTGCCCAGAGGTATGGGCTGGGGTGTCATTAGCATACTGACACCCAGCTCTATCTGATATTGGGTGGTCGGTCAGACTCCAGCCTGGAAGATCTGGCCCGGGCACTGCAAGCCGTGGCTGGTTGGCTTAGACTGAGCTGGCTGAAGCTAAATCCAGCAAAGACGGAGGTCCTGTGCCTGAGTTGGGGTGGACTGGGGATGGGGCTCCTGCTCCCGACCTTTGATGGGGCACCATTGGTGCCAGCGCCGGGGGTTAGGCGTTTGGGAGTGCTCCTGGATCCCTCCTTAACAATGGAGGCCCAGGTGGCAGCCACTGCTAAGTCGGCCTTTTACCATCTTTGGCTGATTCGGCAGTTGGTTCCCTTCCTCGACTGCGACGACCTGGCTACAGTGATCCATGCGACGGTCACCTCGAGATTAGACTACTGTAACGCTCTCTACATGGGGCTGCCCTTGTTGCAAATCTGGAAGCTGCAGCTAGTGCAGAATGCCATGGCCAAGCTTGTGATGGGCCTCCCTAGATGGGAGCACATTCAGCCAGTGGTGAAGGCGCTGCACTGGCTGACAATAGCATACCGAATTCGCTTCAAAGTGCTGGTACTTACCTTTAAAGCCCTATATGGCCAGGGTCCGACATACCTGAAGGACCGCCTTTCCCCATACATATCCCGGGGACCACTACGGTCAGGGTCGCAACATCGGTTAATTATTCCAGGCCCTAAGGAGGCCAGGCTCGCTATTACTAGGGCCAGGGCGTTTTCGGTGGCAGCTCCTACCTGGTGGAACGAGATCCCAGAAGTCCGACCTTTTATGGCTCTGCAGGGCCTGCAAGATGGAGCTCTTCTGCCAGGCTTTCAACTAGGAGCCGCCCACCACCACCACCACCACCAATTATTATTACTAGTAACATCTATGGTAGAGGGTTGGCCCTGTATGGAGATCGAGCCACAGTGTGTGGGAGGCCGGAATACCACTGAATCGGGATTTTAGAACTACATTCTATAACACGCCACCATTAATTTACTGAAGGAATGACCACCATTGCGAGCACTAAATTGTTATTTGTTTACTGTATGGTTGTTTTAATTTGCTTTTAAATGTTTTATGCTGACTCGGCACATGCTGCCGATAAATGTGAGCCGCCCTGAGCCCGCTTGCAGGGAGGGCGGGATACAAATGTAATAAAATAAATAAATAAATAAACACCACCACCCCTGTTTCCACACTGTTTTGTTAGCAATCCCTTGCTGTCCTGGGTTTTCTATGCTCCCCCCCCCCCCCCCGCTCTTTCTGAAACCTGTTTTCCCCTGATCTTTTTTTTTTTAAATTATTGGCTTGATTTCAGTTTTTCAACAGTCTGAAATGCCTGTTCTGTTTCACAGTGCTCTACCTATCCCACCATTTGGGGCAGGGCAGTCAGTGTGGAAGATGTGGATGTTTCATTAATGTCAAAGGGAGGGCACCAAAGTTTGTCTACGACACAATAAACCCTGCAGATATTCTAGTGAGATCTGAAGCTGCATAGTGGTTCTCCAAGACTGATCCAAATGCTTCCTTCTCCATGGCTGCTTTCTGTAGGCAACTTGTACATCAGGGATATGATCACAGGTTCCCAAATCATATGTATAGCCCTCAGACCCCACATTTTAGATTCACCAGATACAACTGGAACCTCTCCTACTCCAATGACTTGAGTTCTATAGCCACAAGAAGGTCCCTCCCAAACATATAGTTGGAGGAATGCATCCCTCTCCCTCCATGGGGCAGCTTCCTTGCCCACTGAGCCAGGCCATGGGCTATACCTGTTGGAAGCTCCAGATGCGATTTCCCCTGTCTCAGACCTCCAGACTGCGTGGCAAGAGAGGCTAGATAGCTAGACAGGCACACTGACCTTTCTTGTGTATCTAACTCTTCTGCCAGTGTCCTCTTTGAAATGCAGACTGTGTTCTCAGGGATCAATTTCCCTTTCCTGCTTCTCTCTCACTCGGAATAAAGGCTTGCTCTCTACCTGCATGCACCAAGAGAGGGACGTGCTGTTCTCTCTTGGCACCATGAGGCAGATGGGCCTCTCGCCATCCACCTCCATCCTTTAGCTAGTAAGTTAGTAATCTATCAATCTCTGCTCTTTCCTATCCAAAGTTTACTTTCCAAATAAACAGAGTATTTCTCTTCTAATCTTGTAATGTGGCTCTGTGTAGCTTTGTAAGCTGAGTACCCTGGTGAAGTGATGCTCCTGTGCTTGTAGCTTTATTTAAGCAGTCTGCTAACTAATGGTGACCAGACTAACCACATCGGTTAACCTCAATAATACCTTCACATGTTCTTCCATCGCTCGATGCAATATATCCCATGCTACAAGCCACACAGGAAAAGGACCCCTGAGAGTTGATACAGCGTCCTCTGGGGCAGGCATTAGGGTTTGCACATTCGTCAAAGTCTATCCGAACAAATTAGAAAGAGAGAAAGACAAGGAGCAGAGGTTTAGTTAGGACAGATCAATAGTAAGAGAACTCGAAACGCTGCTGTCAGCAATTGCTTACAGTTTCTGGTCATGAAACAATGCTACTACCAAAAAGGCAAAATGCCTAGGACAATCCAAGAATAATTGTATAATTGTCAGAGAATGTTTTTATTGACTTGTGTTTATAGTCTTGGTTTTTGTTTGTGCAGTATCCTTTCCCACATGGAGTTTCCCCAAATTTCTCTGTGTTGCTGGAGTTCTTTGTGATTGAAAGAAAGACAGTTCCTAGGGTTGCAGGATCTATGCAGAGGAACAGCTGTACGGACTGGTGGGTCAGAGTGAGGAGGAACAACAAGATGGTGAATTTCTCCCCTCCCAACACTGATGCTGTACTTGCAGAAGAAGGAAGCATGCCTTCAGTTCCTTGTTCTTCTTCACTCTGGGCCCCGCCCCATTTCACTGAGCCAAAACAGCCTAGGGGGATGTAATTTGCCTCATTGGGGGGGCTGCATGTGCATTGTGCACTGAATACTTCTGCAAGCAGCCCAATGACAGGGCAAATAATACCTCCTGAGAAATATTGTGCTGGGGGGAAGGCTACCTTCACACCACGGTCCCAATCCAATCTGTGACACTTATTTTGGTATTTTTGCATATTTGTGTGAATGTGTTGTGTATGTGCATGTGTGCTCTTGCTTGTGCGTGGAAGTTATGGCGAACCCTACTGGGGCATGGAGGACATTCAGAGAAGTGGCTTGATAGCCTGCCTCTGCTGTCTTACCCTGGTATTCTTTGGAGGTCTCCCATCCAAATACTTGCCAGGGTTGGCCCTGCTTAGCTTCTGAGATCTGAAGAGATCGGGCTTGCCTAGGCTATCCACACCAGGACCAGTCTGTGGCACTTCTAAATGGAGTTGCCACCAGGAACTTGTGGCTGCAGTAGGGCTGTAAATTCTCATGGTGAACTTATGGAAAAAGCAATTCTAGTTTGGTCTTAAGTCTCTCCACCATTTTCACTATGAGGAGAACAATACTGACCTACTATACAGAGTTGTTGTAAGAACAAAAAGCTAACATGTGTGAAGTGTTCTGAAGATTGTTCAACAGTCAACAAACGCTAAGTGCTGTTTTCCTATTCTGAGTGTGATTCTTTATGAAGTCAGTGTTCTTTAGATACCTTCTTCAAATATACACTTCAATATTACACCGTTCTGTATTTTAATGCCGCAGCTAGGAAACCCGAAGGCAGGAATATGTTGCCCTTCCCTTCTTTCCCAGAAGAGGGCAGTCTCTGTCTGAATAAACTATTTCCCCCTGCTCCGTATCCTTGTTCTTGTTTTAGCCAGGACTGATGAAAGCTAAAACCTAATGTACTGTAGAGAAATTAATTTCCTTCCCCTTTGTCTTACAGGATGCATTCTTCTAAACAGTCATGTATTCTTTTGAGGACATGTGTTTATCTATCTATCTTCTGTCTGTCTATCTGTTAGTTCAAAAAGTCCAACCATGTACACAAAGGGCCTTTCTCAGCTTGCTGCAGTGTTTAGAGTGTTGGACTATGACCTGGGAGACCCAAGTTCAAATCCCCATTCTGCCAGGAAACTTCCTGGATGACTCTGGGCGAGTCAAACACACTCAGCAGGGTTGTTGTGAAGATTAAATGGAGGAGAGACCAGTGTATGTCGCCCTGAGCTGCTTGGAGGACCAGTGGGATATAAATGTAAAAAATAAAGTTCCCAAAAGAAAAATTAATTAACATACCATTTAGGAAAACCAAAAGGGACTCCATATGAAAGCAATGACTTGGATCCCACAGTAAATTTCCACTGATAGAAGCAACTTCTTTGATTTCCCTCTCCCTCTGCACTCCAAAACGGTACCTCAAAATGCTGCTCCTGGGAGACAGGCATCCTCCAGGAACAGCACAGGGAGAGCTGGAGATCTGCAGTGAGAGGGAGGAATCAGTGAAAATTCTGCCCTCCTTCCATTAGTGGAAATTTCCTGTGGGGTCTAAACCAACGGTTGCTTGCAAACTCACCTTCACACTCTCCTCCATGACTTAGGATGTAGCCTGTCTTGCATTCACAGTGGTAAGAGCCAGGGGTGTTGATACACTGCCCTCCGTGACACATATTAGGCTGCTCACATTCATTGAAATCTGTTAACACATTGAAAATACGTCCTTTAAGCAAAATGGGCTAGATCTAAAGCACTAAAACAAATCTGTGAGTCAAGCAGTTAGATAAATGGACATCTGCCTCCAGAGTTACCCACGTATTCCTATGCAAACCAGTGCACCTGTCCTTATTCAAACTCCTCCACAAAGCCAGCTTCGGGATCAAGTAAAGCGTTATCAAGATGAATATAAGCACCAGATGAATATTGTTGTTGCCCTTTTGTTTCTTTACCTTCACCCTTGTCACTCTTTGTGTACAAAATGGAAAAGGCAGAGGCCAGGAACCCAGCATTATAACCAAACGAAGACAAATATGAATTTCTTTCCTTATCCATATACACTAATAGGAGGGAACAGTTATCAGAAAATCATGTCCAATTGTCTTGGAAGCAAAGGGTCATCCTTTTATAGCAAGGTTGTCAGGGATGATGGAGGAGAGCTCCACAAGAGCAAAGCTGGAAGCTTTTGCCTCTTTTATTAAGTTGGAAATACACAGGCAATTCACAATAGGCCTTTATAGTTATTACATGAAGGTATCCATTTACACATCTTTGGGACTGCATGCTACCCATGATCCTCCCAATGTGCATGGACATCATTCTGTCTGAATTAGGGCACTGCATGTATTTTCTGCAGAAAATATGCACAGTGCCCTCTTCAGATGAAATGGTGAGAGTGTGTACTGAGGGGATTGTGGGTAGCATTCAGTTTGTTCCTGGTATACACAGTTAAATACCCCCAAATATAACCACTGAAAAGGACTTTTATCCTCCAGGAAGTGGCACTGGAAGTAGTTGGGTGCCACAAACGTACTACTTACCTTGACATGTCTGTGAGTCCTGTGTGGTGAGAAGACTGTATCCAGAGAAACAGAGACAAGAATAGGAGCCCTCATTGTTGATGCAATGGCCATTCCCACCACATGTATTTCTCTCACATTCATCAACATCTGAATCAAGAAGAGAGTGTCAAGGTCAATGGGGCAATGGCTCTGAGTCTCACCCTCTTTACAGGCACTCTTAGGGCAGCAGATAGGAATTTGAAAGTCATCCATGCAGGTTCCAGCTCAACCAAGTTCTGATAGTATTGGGCTGGGCTATTTTCCAGCCTTCACATCATGTTTTTGTTAATTGGGGGGGGGTCTTTGGAATTTTGAGGTAGTCTTTCTGGTTC